TTTGTGCATGTGAATGCGATGATCGTATAATGTGTGATGTTATACGGGAGCAGTTGAAGGATTGTCACGTGATCCTGTGCAAATGAAGGAAGAGATGGAATATCGAATTAGAAGGATTCAATGTTATCTTTGCAGTTGCGTCTGAGCTTAAAACTGATGTATAGATTTTAGTTGATGTTCGGGATGTTATGTATTATTACAACATTTAAGTTTTGATTTTTTTTTTTAATTTTGGGTAAATTTTTTTTTGGGATGTTACAGACCCCTAATTATTACAATTTTACAAAAATGGGGACCCAATTGAGACGCCGAAAAGAAAAGGGACCTATTTGAGATTCACGCCGAAAATAGGGACCTACCGAGACATTAAACCAAAAAACAAAAAATATATATGTGTGATTTTTTTATAGTTGTAATTATAATAAATTATGTACTTATTTTTTTATTTTATTTATAATAGTAATTAAATATTAGTGTATTTGTTTTATGATCCGCCAAAAGTAGTTATAAAAGATTGTTTTTAAATATATTTTAGGCAGCTATTAATACAGGATTACTTTTATTTTCCTACAAATGGAAAGTTGGACAGATATATTTTAGTTTTCTAAAATAACATTAATATCAAAAAATAATGTTTCTGAAAATTATTTTAACTAAGTTTCTCATGAATACTTTTACGAGAGAATATGTGAATATATATTTTTTCAAATTAAAATTAAAAAATTTCTTCATCCAAATATCATATTAATTTTCTTCAATTATTTCTTGCAGTGAATTGTTAAATGTTATTCATTCTAAAGAGACTCAACATATAAAAATTCACAAGTAAAAACTACACAAAAGTGCACGTGATGATAGAAATTATAAGAATTGTAATTTTGTATGAAAAAATTTAACTTAACGCCCATTAATTGAATCTGTTAGATGTAAAGCTCAATTAAACTAAACTAAAATATAAATGGAAAAATTAAGAGTGCAATCAAATTTAAAGATTTCTATAATGTAAAGATTAAAATAAGAAAAATTAACAAAATCTCATATAAATATTTAAAATAGAAACAAATTTACAGTTTAACCAAAATGATATATATATATTCCACATTTTTTTACTTTGAGTTTTGTGTAACCATTCTATCCACGGTTACCCATGCTTGGCAAGTAGATTCCTGGATTTCAAACCTATCAGAAGTCCATTTTTATTATTACAGTAAAAACATACTTTTCTTATACATTCTTCTTATTTTCTATCTTCGTAATCATATGGCCATCAACGCAGTTCAGAAAATTTTCAGGCTCCAAGAGTGACCTTTGTTGAGAAATTCAACATCACTGCATTACAATAACATATGGTTTATTGCTATGTTCTTGATGAACCTCTGATAAGTTGGCGTGCCTTGTCTGGTGATGCATACCGCATGTTTGAAGAAATTCTTGTGAGTTCATTATTGCCGGGTTTGTGGAAGAGTGGCATGTTGACATGTGTTTGGAGTTTTTTTGTCAAATGAGGGGTTCATATTTCAGACCAAATCATTTTACATACACTCTAGTCTTCTAAGTGCTTGAATGGGAGCATGGGGACATGGGACATGTGCTCATTGTCAAATAATTCACATGGGTTTTCATTATCACCTCCACAATGATAATGCTCTCATTTCCTTGTATTCCAAATGTGGGGGCAATTGATGATGCCTTCAACATATTTGAAAATATTTTAGGTTATCACATATGGAGCACCATGAGTGGCTATGCTCAGCAACACTTCAACACCTTGGGAATCTGTATGCAAGAGTTGGTTGGTGGAATCAGGTAGCACAAGTTTCAAAATTAATGAAAGACAAAGGTCTACAGCCAAATCTTCGTTTCAGTTAGGTTGAAGTTGAATGTAAAGTCTTTTGAAGCACAAGATAAGCCAAATAACATAATGACAGAAATTCTTTTGATGATGAATAGTTTGATGTACCACATAACTCGATTGTTTTAAACCTTCGTTCTCATATGTGTGAGGAGAAAAATATATTTGGCTTTCACTAGCTTCACTATTGGGGAAATACTTATAACATTTCCAGCATTGCAGATTTGGCTTGCACAAACTGAGGGCAGTCAGTTTCTTATGTTCATGGGTAAACGTGAACCTAAAGAAATATGCAAGCAATGTCGTTTATGTGACTTGTGTCCGTAATGTGACTTCAATCCATTAATTCAGTATAAAAGGATATGACACAAATCATCTTAGCAATAGAAAAGAGAAATACATCCTTGTGATGCAACCATATATATTCTTGAATCCAACAGATGTGTAAAGGATGTATATTTAAAACTGGTACGTTTGTGTATTCTTAAAATACGTATCTATACCATGTCAGTACTTTTAAAAAGTACATATGGAAATAGTAGACAGATATACTCATCACAATTTTAAAGGATATGCTTACGAGAATATTGGAACCATATGTTCACTATTGAAGGAATTTATATAGTTTTTAGTGAATGTAGTTGAACTAATGATGATGATGATATTTCTTTTATTAGAACCATGTCATGAATCAATGACATTGATATTTTTTAATTAGGTTAAGAGGTGAATTTTAAGTGAGATATGATTGGATTATATATATTTGTGCAAGAAGCGTTTGTAACATCACCATGTCTATTTGGTAAGTTTGTGGGGTGATATTTTTGCAAATATTTTGTCCAAATTAATTTGGACAAATTCACAACTAATGTTAATTTATAATCTAACGTGGGTTATAAAATTATGAAATTAGACTACCTAAATGTCCAATGTCACTTAACATCCGTTGACCCTAGAACCAACGTTAAAATGTAAATAGTTATATATTGTGAGGGTATTTAATGTCAATTTTCCTTCTAAAATTTTATAAACAAACTGTGTTAGCGTTCTCATCTTTCTTTTTCACATTTGCATGAAGCTTTCCACCAAATTACAGTGACGAACTAAACTTGTAAAAGCAAGTTCTTGAATCCAATTCATTTTATCTTTCCATTGTGGTGCTTGTTTGAACTGAAGCTTTCATTATTCCCATATACAGTTTTCATTAAAGTTGATATTTTCGTTTACTAACCAATGTTATGTATTATAAAGGTTTCATTTTTTTTTTTGTTTTTAGTTTAATCTTGAGATTGATAAACTTCAAATTGTCATAATTTTTGGTATGAAAATCACGAACGGAGATGTTCTAAAAATGAAAGTTGTTGAAAATGGTGTGACAAATATATTAACTATCGTTTAAGGTATTTTTCTTTTTCTAGAATGTTATGAAATTTAAAAAATCATTAGTTTAATGTATGATTTTTATTTTATTATAGTATTTTTCAACCATTTTTCTATATTCTATACTTCTAATTTAGATACACATACTACTTCTAAAATTGTGGAAACTTTTGTAATGCATTCTTGTATTGTAGATTGATTTTTCATTGTTTTAGTGAGAAAAATATTGACAAAAAATTAAAACAAAAACAAACCCAGAAATTGACGTTTATTGTTCCTACAATAAACGTCAATTAACATATGTTATAAATGTAACATATGTTAATTGGTGTCTGTCTAGAGATAACATATGTCAATTTAATATATCTCGCTATGACGTCATACCTTTAACAAACTTCCAAAACTTAAAATAACATATATTAAAGTCTTTTTTGTATTAGTATTAGTAGTGACTCAATAGCGAATGAAACACCAGACCTCCTAATAAACAATAAACTGTTATTTGTTAAAATAAATTCTAACCATTTTAAAATGTAAATTTTAAACTTAACTAAATTTTGCAAAATCAACCTATAAAATAAGTTACTCACTCATTGATGTGATTAACTTTATCTCTCCGTCCTGAGACTTGCAACTAATTATTTATTACATTTGAAATTCAGTTACATGCATGCATTGTAATAATGATAAAGTTTAAAAATTCAAATTATTAAAATGTCTCTAATATTACAAATATATGAAATTACTACAAACATAAACTATAATAATATTAAAAAAACGTAATATGTATATTGAAGTAGTGAGATTTTTAAAATTATTAGAAATTAGAAATGTGCCTTTTTTTTGTCCGATTTTGTTTTTTGGTATTTTTTAATGTATAGATTTTGAGAGTTTTTTTATCTTTATTTTGATGAGAATTGACATACGTATGCTAAAATATGTTTTGGAGGAAAATTTAGAGAGTTGGCACTCCAATTAATGTGAGATATGCTTTTGGGTTGAAATGTACCAGAAAGTGTGGTGCAAATAAAGCAAACACACACTAACACATTGTTCACAAAATTTATATACACACCAGAGCGAGGTTATATCCATTACATATTATATATATATATATATATATATATATATATATATATATATATATATATATATATATGCAGTAGTTGCTTAATAGTCTTGAACTAAATCTAATAGATCTTGTCCATCCATGAAGCAAAAGGGACCTACTGGACAGTCTGAACAGCCCACCACGTACGGTTCCCAAGTCGGTCGAACGTAAACACAACAATGCAGTGAAATCAATCAAAACTGGTGATCTTACTAAGAACGCAAAACGGCGACGTTGAACTCAAGCGCTGAAGTAATTGCGGGGTGAGAAGAGGCGACGAGGTGAGAACAAGCCGGTGTAGCGCGGCGAGGCGAGGCTATTGATGGGTCTATAATCAGGCATGATGAAGGATTCACGTTCCTCGCGGCCCACACCTCTGCTGTTGAGTCCATTGAAGGTGCTATACCTCACCAGCTTCCCCACCCACGACTTCTTCTTCGGGGGGCTCTGATGGCCCGCGTTCATCTTCTGGCACAGGTACTCCTTCACCGCATGCAATCCCTGCTCCATCACTTCCGGCGGCGGCGAACTCAGAGGGTTCCCTTCCACGCTCAGCTTGTGCAACTTCTTCAGGCACCCAACGGAGTCCGGCAATGATCTGATCTTGTTGTAGCTGACGTCTAGTTCCACCAGGGATAGGAGGAGCCCCACCGAGTAGGGTAGAGAATCCAGGTACTGGAAGTTCTGGCTCACATTCAGAGTTTCTAGGTTTATCAGGTTCTCGAGATCTTCTGGGAGAGATCTCAGGCAGTTCAAACGCACGTCCAGAATCTTCAGAGCGGTCAGATGAGAGGTCGAGCGAGGAAGGAACACCAGCTTGTTAGAGTTCACCGATAGCTTCTTCAGGTTTATCAGCTCGTACCCTATGTTCTCCGGAAGCTGGATCAACTTGTTGAAGTTCGCATTCAGTTCTTCTAAGCTTCTGCTAATTCAAAAGTCATAGTGTATTAGCCACAGAAAATGGTAATCACAATTTTCTTAACCTTTCTTAACAAAAATGTTTTTCATAAGTACCAAACAGTTAACTGCACATTTAAGGTTGTCTGTGAAATATATACATATCACCGATGCCTGTTGGTCGTTGATTTTGATTTTGTTTGTAGCGCTCCTTACTCTAATTTGGTCAATAACTACATATATACTCGCGTAACTCATGCATGCATGTCTCCAAAAATTACAACGTAATTGATAATGTTAGGTTTTGAAGGATAAGAGTATTATGTGGTTGTTGATGTGTTGATTGGATTGTGCTTTCATTTGAACGAGGGTATGCAAATATCTATTGTCTATTTGTCGTTTGGTGATGATGTCCGGTGGATTCTTGTAACTAGGAAAACGATGTTTGAGCGAATACTATTGTTTTAGAAACTTGTTGGAAGAATAATGGTTTTCCACGGAATTATCACTTATTGATTGACTTTCTCTCCCTTTGTTTTAAGAATTTTGTATTGGCCTGTGTCCTCCACCTTTTGTTGTTTTTAAGCTGGTCAATTAGGTAATAATGACACCCAAAGAAAATGAAGGATTTTGATTTTTGCCCGCTATTTGTGACAACGGCCCACAATGAATGCTTAGAAATTCTATTTTTTACGATTGATTTTCTAAATAGAATAACGACTCGTGTACGTTGAATAATGTTTAAATATATTTAAGGCTACACTTTTTTCCCCTTATATTATCTTCACATATATTTTATTAAATGGGTAGGTATATTTTTAATCAGTAGACGTTAATAATCAATTATTTATAACGCTTTCAAATCTACTCCTGACGTGGAATTCATTATTCTTACACATATCCTTGATGCCCTAGCCAGTAGTATCAAGAACAGGTAAAATAAAATAAAATAAAAACACATATACAACAGAAATTAAACCTCATCATAGCAGGGAAAGCAAGTTACTGAAGTGCTTTAGAACTGTTTTGTGCACTATGTGTTGTTTGACTAACGTAAAGGTGGAAAGCAAGTGTATGACTCAAACTAAAATGGAATCATCAAGACGTTTGTGTCCAGAATTAATTAGTTAAATTTATTATTAAACTGTTATTAGATTTGACTAATACAATATTTAAATTGAAAACATACACATAATCAATTATTGGTTTTAATTAAAACACGGACTTGATAATATACATGTTTCTTGTACCTATGAAGAAAAATGTATAGAATTAATTAATTTGTTAGGAAACGTAGAAAGAGATGTTAAGAGATGAACCTGCAATTTTCAATTGTTTTGGGAAGGTATTCGATGAGGTTGCCAGAGACATTCAAAACCTTGAGCTTTGAGAGGCAACCAATGGAGTTGGGAAGGTACCTAAGCTGGTTGGAGTGCACGTCCAACACCACCATGTTCAGCAGTCTCGCTGTTAAGGACTCTGGTATATTCTGTCACAACATATTCAAAACCAAATGTTAATTAAAAATAAATTACACCATTATTTCTTAAACAACATGAAGACACTCACATAGGATTCATTAATAAATTCATGTCGGCTAGCTAATTAATTAACTAGTATACAGCGGCAGCCATAGGGTACCGTAAGGAAGGTAAAACTATATATAACTACTAAGACTCATTACAGTTAAAGACAAAATTAAATAACAAGTTGGATTTTTCGTTGATAAAATAAAGTGTATAATTTATAATTTTATTGTTATTAATAATAATTGTTCAAAAGTCTCAATCTAAATCAATACAAAATTAAATAATATTACTGCCTAATACAACTTGTTATCGTTTGTTTTTATTCGAGTACATGACCAGACATCTATTAATGTACGACAGCACGTACGCGTTTGAGTGTAATAGACATCAACACAATATTATATAAATAAATAAATATATATATATATATATATATATATATATATATATATATATGTATGTATGTATATATAATATGTATGTATATGTAATATCTGATAAGTAGCTTCTCCTTTTATGATCATCTGTACCTTGAGGAAAAGAAAGGGATTATACGTGAAAATGAAAACCAAGTTGTATTGACCCTCTACATTTTCCTTAGTACTATATCTATATAGTTGGAGAAAGGTGGTATTAACTTATATCAAAACAAGCCGATGTATATAATATATGTGCCATGAAACGTTGATATTATTGTTAAAGTTGCCATTTCTGCAGAAAAATGAAGGTGTAGAAAGAGCCAGAAAAGAAAGGGTTACAATTAAGAAGTATATATAAGGTCTGAAAAAGCTGTATGCATGCATGTGATTACCTGAAGATTGTTATTAGAGAGGTCCAACTTGCAAATGGTGGCTAAATTAAGAGAGGGGTTGGGAAGGGAATCCAAGGACATGCCACTCAAGTCTACTATTTCAAGCCTCTCTTCCTCTACGGCTTTCCTTCTCTCGGTTTTCTTTCTCAAATCGACCTTCACAGACATGGGCTGCTGAAAACGTTGCTGATGCTCGTACATCATCTTGTACCAAATAAATGAAATACAGCAACAGAGTAGATACTAAAATCTGTGTTGTGTTGTTTTGTTTTTCAATATGAAATGGTAGGCCTGAAAAGAAAGAGAGAGAATGGGGGAAGGGAATGGATTGAAGGGTGGAAAAAAGAAGGGAGTGGTTGGGTTTATATGGAGAAAGGAAAGAGGATGTACGGAGGAGAAGGAAGAGAAGAGCGGAGAGTGCGGGCCACATGTAAGTGACGTATAAAGAAAGTACAGCAACCGTATGTATGTATATGCTTAGGTTTGCGTGGCCACGTTCTTGACTTTGATCGAGTCAACAACACACTTTTCTTTTTCTCATATCTCTCTTTCTATTACACTTCCACAAACCCACAAAAAAGAATAAACGTTAATATTTTTTTATTTAAAAGGACAAAATTGAGAAAATTATGAAAGAAATAAAAAACATACATTAGTAAGGTATCTTTCTAGGTTGCATAAACAAACATGTTTTTAAAGGAAAAAAAAATGTAAAATAGGTATCGATTCTGACTACATCTCAAATAATATGTACTTTATGACATTGGTTTTGGTCACAATAGAGATATAAAGTTTGACAAAAAAAATACATAATTTACTGTCTCGATTCAACCCCAACTAAAGCAGAAGAACCTATTTTACTGTCTTAGTTCACGAGACAACAGAAGCCAAAAGTCTGACGAAAAAAAAACACCCTTAATTGTCTTGGTTACATTTGAATTGAGAACCAAGGTAAAAAGTCTATTTGTTTTGTCTTTCTTGTATATTACTCGGTTGATGAACCATCACGTATAGGTAAAAATAACCACTGTCATCTATCTTTACTGTACTAGTAGTTCTATGACTTTAAAATATCTAAACTTTTTTTACACACTCTTTATATTTATTATTTTACCTCCAACATTTCTCTTTCTTTTCAAATACAAGAATTATCTTTTCTAATAACCAAAATATCTCTAAAAATGAGTTGGTGAAAAAAAAAATATTCTTTTAAATATTAACCTGGCCCAAGCATGATATATTTCTATTAGGACGAGTCATAATATTTTTTTTATAAAAATAATAATAATTTAAAAGTAAGAAGTTATTGTAATAAAATAGTGTTTTTTTTTGTTGAATAAGGAAATGAATATTTTTATGTGTATAATTGCGTTAGGTGTGATAAACGCGATGCTCATCAATCCGACTTATTTATGTTTATACAAATCAATTTCAATCAAATCTCGTGAAATCAATCCATTTTTTTTTCTTATGTCAATTCGAGTTAGTTGAATAACATAAATCGATGATGGTCCATCTAGTTTAACTCTATCACAATAATTCTTACTAATTTTAATTATTGAGGAAACTAATTTCAATCACAAAATAGTGTATATTATACTTTGTTAGAGTATTGCTTGATAATATATTCTTACGTTCATTTCATGTGTTAAAAAAGGTAAAAAGTAGTTTGGCTCTTACTGATCTAATTTAACATTTGGTCTGAGTAGAGATTTAACAGTTCTTGAAGAATGATGTACAAGTGAAAGTTTGATGTTTGTTCTGCAAAATAAAATAATAAATAAATATACAAATCTTTTTTGGAAGTATCAGTAATTTTTTCTGCCTTTACAAAATTGAAATAAAATTTCTTCGGTGAAAATTATTCGTAATAAAGTATTAAAAAATATTTTATAATTTAACACACACAATTCTTTTATATCCATTTAATATTATCTTTCTTTAATTTTTACTTTTCACTTTTAATAAAATCTTTATTTCTTTTATAATTTTTTTTATAATATATATTATGTAAGAGCTTGAAAATGTAAGGCTACTGGGTCCTGTAGCCTGACCCAAGAAGCTAAGGGCACTAGGACCTCAGAAGAGGCCTCATTTTTTCAGCTCTGAGTTTATTTTCCAGTTCCCCTTTCTCTCTCTAAACTCATCTCAATTTTCTCTTTTTGCTCTACCTTCTCTCTACCCTTGCACTCATTTGAACCGTTGAAATTTCAAATAGGTGGTGTTCTTTCGCTCATGGAGTTGAGAGCTTCCCTTCTATCCGATTAGATTTCTATTTGGACGGGTAAGTCAGTTTCTCCACTTTTTCTTGAACTTAGGGCATGCAACTTTACTGGTTGCAGGGTGCTCCTTTTGATTCTCTGTCTATTCTAGCCCTAAGAGCTGTTTCTATCACCATTTAGGTGGTTGTAGGGCACTGTCTGGATTTTCTCTGTGAAGGCACGATTAGGGCACTCTAGTTGACTATACTGCTCAACTTCAAGGTATGGGGAGCTAATTATTTTTTGTATGAATTTATTTTATAAAAATATGTGCATATGAATGTTGAACTGGTGTGTTGTGAAATGACTTTTATTGTATTGGGTGTTATAATTGAAACTGTGAAATTGTGCATGTTGTGATGTGATGAATTTAATTTGTTTTGAATGAGTTTGTTGGCTGAAATTGATCTTGGTGGAAGGTCGGGAGTAAGTCTGTAATAGCATGTATATGGGTATTAAATAGATGTACAGGTACTGTTTGAGGTTGTTGTGAGAGGAAGTGAAAATATTAAAATTAGGCATTTCAGATTTAGAGCATAAGAGAACAGGGTAGATAATTTAAATAAATTAATTGTTAATTATTAAGAGCCTTTCTTTGTTGGTAGGATAGAGGAACCTTACAAACCTGAGTTGTTGACACATCCCTGATCATA